AGAACTTGCGTGCTGGCTCCTGACTCTGTCTAGAAGGGGCTGTCACAGGTATTCACAGGGAGTGCAGCAGTGGATGGGAATGTATATTGTGTGTGTATATATATATATATATATGGATTGATTTATTTTTATTGGCAAGTCAGATACACAGAGAGAAGGAGAGATAGACAGGAAGATCTTGCATATGCTGATTTACTCCCCAAGTGGCTTCTGTGGCCAGTGCTGAGCCGATCTGAAGCCAGGATCCAGGAGCCTCCTCCAGGTACAGGGTTCCAAAGCTTTGGGCCATCCTCTACTGCTTTCCCAGGTCACAAGCAGAGAGTTGGCTGGGTAGTAGAGCAGCTGGGATAAGAACTGGTGCCCATATGGGATCCCAGGCATGTAAGGCGAGAACCCTGGCTATTAGACTATTGAGCTCGACCCTATATCAATGTTTAATTTATTTGATAGGTAGACAGATAGAAAGGGAAAGGGTGAAAAAAGGGGAGGGGAAAGAGAGAATGTGTTAGTAGGAAGCTAACATTGACGATATTAGCCACAATGCACTATAGATGAAAAAGATGGTAAATATACATGGATATTTCAGAAAGTTCATGGAAAATGGAATGAAAGAGGTTATTTAGGTGCCCAAAAAAAATTCATAGTTTTTTTTTCGTAATAATTAATACTTTTTATGAACTTTTGGAAGGCATTTGTATGAAAGAAAGGTTGAAAAATAAAGAGTAGAGTGAAGAGTTCTACATTTATCCAGTTGGAGTTCCAGAAAATAAGTATAAATGGAGGGATGAGGCAATGGTAAAATAGAACTGGCTGAGAATTTTTCATAATTGTCAAAAGATGATCCTTAGGTGGTAGAAATCCAGTGAATTCCAAAGAGAATAAGTATAAAATCAGTTCTGGCAAACATAGGGCCAAACAGAAATATCTTTTAAATAGCTAGAGAGAAACTACAGATTGCTATGAAAATATTTTTTTTAGCCTGACAGCTGATTTCCCAGAAGTGTTGACAGAAGTCATAGGACATTGGAATGCTGTTTTAAATGTACTCAGAAAATAGCTGTGAGACTTGAAATGATTTACCCAGTAAAGCTGTCTTCGAAGAATGACAGCTAAATGAAGATGCTGTTAGACAAGAGGTTAGTCAACAGAGTCAGATTCTGAGGGTCATAACGCAGATAGGGAAGTTCCAAGTGGAAACCCTGATGTGCTTCCTAGGGGCTACAAAGTGTTCCATCAAGTGGATGGTTTAATTTAAATTCCACTATCAGGCCTGTTTATGCTTCACCTTTCTCAGTATTAACATGTGACGTGTTTGTTCATATAATGTTTTATATATATATATTTTTAAAGATTACATTCCCAAGTTCTTTTTCTTTTTTTTTAAGATTCATTTTTTTTTTAACTAGGAGCCCAAATTAGTGAGTCTAAAAAGGAATGGGTTTTATTTTTTACTGAATATATATATATATATATATTTTAAGATTTATTTTTATTATTTTTTCATTGGAAAGGCGGATATACAGAGAGGAGAGACAGAGAGGAAGATCTTCCGTCCGATGATTCACACCCCAAGTGAGCGCAACGGGCCGATACTATGCCGATCCGAAGCCAGGAGCCTCTTCCGGGTCTCCCACGCGGGTGCAGGTTCCCAAAGCTTTGGGCTGTCCTCGACCGATTTCCCAGGCCACAAGCAGGGAGCTGGAAGGGAAGCGGGGCTGCCGGGATTAGAACCGGCGCCCATATGGGATCCCGGGCGTGCAAGGCGAGGACCTTTAACCACTTGTGCCACCGCGCTGGGCCCTTTACTGAATATATGTTACACAATACTTTTTAAGAGTTTATTTTAGGGCCCGACGCTGTGGCCTAGTGGCTAAAGTCCTCACCTTGAACGTGCCAGGATCCCAAAGGGTGCCAGTTCTAATCCTGGCAGCTCCACTTCCCATCCAGCTCCCTGCTTGGAACCCTGCACCTGCGTGGGAGACCTGGAGAAAGTTCCTGGCTCCTGGCTTTGGATTGGCTCAGCACCAGCCATTGTGGTCACTTGGGGAGTGAATCATTGGACAGAGATCTTCCTCTCTGTCTCTCCTCCTCTCTGTATATCTTTGTAATAAAAAAAAAATCTTAAAAAAAAAAGTTTTCCATCATTGTTCTCTCTCATTAGTATTGAAAATGCTTTCTTTTTGGGGGTGTGGCGTGGTAGCCCAGCAGCTAAACTCCTTGCCTTGGACGTGCCAGGATCCCATGTGGGTGCCGGTTCTAATACCAGCAGTCCCGCATCCCATCCAGCTCCCTGCTTGTGGCCTGGGAGATCAGTCGAGGATGGCCCAGTCTTGGGACTCTGCACCTGCATGGGAGACCTGGAGGGGGCTCCTGGTTCCTGGCTTTGGAGTGGCTCAGTTTTGGCCATTGCTGCAGCTTGGGGAGCGAATCAAGAAAATGCTATCTTTTTGGATTGGGTGTTGCTTATCATTATCGTTGTCATCTTTTGACTTGAGTGAGTGATTTAACTGTGATTAAAAACATTTCCAGTGTCTACGGATGCTTGGCTGTGGTCTGGCCTTCTCCTCCCCCATCCTGCCCAGGGAGCAACCCTGGACTTCTGGAAGGCAGGTGAAGGGTTTGCTGTGCTGGGGATAGGGCTCACTCCTTGGGGGTTGCTTTCCTCATAGCTGCCAGGGTGTTGCTCAGCTCCTTCCACTCTTAGTACAGATTCATGTCCCTACCCTTTTCTTCACCACCACCCCAAGATTGATTTCTTAATTTGAAAGACAATGTTATAGAGACAAAGAGGTCTTCCATCTTTCTTGTTCATTCTCCAAATAGCCATAATGTCTGGAGCTGAGCCAGTCTGAAGCTAGAAGCCAGGTCTCCCATTTGGGGGCAGGGGTCTGAGCAACTGGGGCTCTCTTGCACTGCTTTCCCTGGAAATGGAGCAGCCAGGATTGGAACAGGTACTCAAGTGGGACTGCTGGTGCTGCAGGAGACAGCTTAACCTGTTATTCTACATCATTGGTCCCCTCCCCCTACTTACTTTCCTTGTTGAACTGAAGGCCTGCTTGTTTTTGGAGACTTTGAGTAGCTCCATGATATATCTATCTGTACACACCTCCTGAATCGTGTCCTACATGAACTTGTTGGTTTCTTCAGTGCCTCAGCTTGCTCATGTTTTTGGTCTTTATCGAGGCCCATGTCTGGGGTAGCATAGGATCATGGCTGCTGCTGTTTCAGTGGCTGTTGAGGCAGAAGAACCTGTTTCTTTTTTCTTTTGTTTAATTTTTATTTTAAATTTTGAATTTTGTGGTACAATTTTGTGTAGTCTGGGATTCCCCTCCCCAAAAGAACCTGTTTCTTTATTTGAAGGGTTCAGAGAGAGATCATCCATCTGCTGTTTCACTCCCCAAACACTTGGAGTGGTCGGCTAGTACAGCCCCAAACCAAGAGTGAAAATCCTGATCTGCCACATGAGTGGCAGGAACCCAAGCCACTGGGCTGTCATCATCTGCCTCTAGGCACAATAATAGGAAATTTGGATCTGAAGCTCAGTGTAGGGAGCTTCAGTGGCACAGAGAAATAAGCCACCGCTTACAATCCTAGCTTCTCATGTGTGTGCTGGTTTTAGTCCTGCCTGCTCTGCTCCTGATCTAGTTTCTTGCTAACAGGAGTGGGAAAGCAGCTTTGGAAAGATGGCCCAGGTGCTTATGTTGCTGCCATCTGTGCATGAAACCCAGATGGAATTCTGTGTTTCTGACTTCTGTCTGCCCAGCCTAGGCAGTTTGGGCCAGTTGGAGAGTGAACCAGCAGATTTCTTTTGTGTCTCTCCCTCTGTCTCTGTAATTCTGTGTTTCAATTAAAGTAATCTTTAACAAGAGAAGGAAAGCGTGGTGTAGTTAAACAAATCTCCTTTATGGCATACAGGTGTCCCCACAGGCAGTTTAAACATGGAATTACACCATAATGCCAGCCATTATGTGTGCTTAGTCTGGTGATTAAAGAGGCCTGTACTGGGCTCTTTTCCTGGCTGTGGTTGATGCCTTCAACTTCCCAGTAGTACAGGCCCTGAGAGGCATTGGAGGTGGTGACTCAGGCAGTTAGATTCTTCATACTCCTGTTGGAAACATGGGTTGTGTTTGTGTGTTGACTTTAGTTCTGACCCAGCTCAGCTGTTTTGGGTGTGACCCAGAGGATGGGAGCTTTCCTTGGGTTTCAAATATATAAAAATAAATTTAAAAGAACTTAATTGCTTAAAAAAAAATGATTTATTTGAAAGAGTTAACAGAGAGCTAGGACAAGTGCAAGATCTTTCATCTGCTAGTTCATGCCCCAGAAGGTCGCAGTGACAGGAGCTGGGTGGGTCCGAAACTAGGAGGTTCTTCCAGGGTTTTTTTTGTTTTGTTTTGTTTTTTTTTTTGTTTTTTTTTTTAGGATTTATTTATTTTTATTGCAAAGTCAGATATATAGAGAGAGGGGAGAGACAGAAACATCTTCCGTCTGATGAATCTCTCCCTAAGTAACTGCAACGGCTGGTGCTGTGCCGATCCGAAGCCAGGAGCCAGGAACTTCTTCTGCATCTCCCAAGCAGGTTCAGGGTCCCAAGGCTTAGAGGCCGTCGTCGACTGCTTTCCCAGGCCACAAGCAGGGAGTTGGATGGGAAGTAGAGCAGCTGGGATTAGAACCAGCACCCAGATGGGATCCCGACACTTGCAAAGTGAGGACTTTAGCTGCTAGGCCACGCTGCCAGGCCCTCTTCCAAGTCTTTTAATGCTGCTTTATTATCTAGCTCTTTATATTTCATATCATGCAAGCAACAGTAAGTTAACAAACATGTTTTAAACACAGATGGTCATTTATTCTAAAAGATGATACTGTTAATATGCTTAAATTGTATATTTTAATATAAGCTGAATGATCGCTTCTCAGCCTTTTGGGTAAGACCAAGTGTAATGTAAGCTGAATGTAAACTGTCTTTTTCTAAATTTTTTTTTTCTTTTTTGCTATTTCAGGTGCAAGTGAAAGTGTAGGAAAACATATGCTTGAAGCCTGCAACAATAACCTGGAGATGGCAGTCACAATGTTTTTGGATGGTGGAGGAATTGCTGAGGAGCCCAGTACGAGTTCTGCAAGTGTATCTACTGTCAGACCACACACAGAGTATGAATTTCTTTAATATTACCTCTTGTCTAAGTAGTTTTATTTTTATAAAAGTTATATCAGTTGTCTGGTTTTGAAAAACTAAAAGTTGAAGGCTTCTGGAAAAATATTATGGATGTTTTTGTACTTATATAGTTTAAATTCTGTGGAGTACTCTGATAGCTGTTATTGAATCCTCTCTCTTGTTTACTCCTCAGAAGAGCCATCAGGGCTTACTGCAGGAGGCAGGACACCTTGTGGTCTGGAAAGTCGATCTGATGACCAGGTGTGGCAACCAAAAAAGAAGAAAGTTGTATCGGATGCATTATTACGCACATTTTTTATTTGATGAAACAGGAGCGCAGTTGTTTTCCTAAACTACACATTGGTTAAGTAGCTGTTATAGAAGTAAAGCTACATAGATTTTCTTGTATTGTCCCAGGAAAATTTTTAGTTGCCTCAGAAAATTTTGACAAAGAATTCTTTATTTTTTTTTAACATGAATTTTTATTGGAAAGTCAGATATACAGAGAGGAGGAAAGATGGAAAGGAATAGCTTCAGCCTGCTGATTATCTCCCCAAGTGGCCGCAATGAACAGAGCTGAGCTTATCTGAAGCCAGGAACCAGTAGCTGCTTCTGGGTCTCCCATACGGGTGCAGGGTCCCAAGGCTCTGGGTTGTCCTTGACTGTTCTCCCAGGCCACAAGCAGGGAGCTGGATGGGAAGCAGAGCTGCCAGGATAGGAACCAGTGCCCATATGGAATCCCAGTGGTTGCAAGGCAAGGACTTTAGCCTCTAGGCTACTGTGCCGGGCCCGGTGGGGACATTTCTAACACATACAGAATTTAAAGTGAAATAAGTTAACAATAGAAAGAATTGCTTAGGGAACACTGTCTTATTTGAGTTTTCGTAATATAATTAACAGATGTGTTTCTTTTTGATGAAAGCATTAATAGCTTCCTCTTAAATTTTTGTGCCTATTTTTTCATATTGTTTAAAGTTGGTGAGCAGTTTGTTCAGTTAGCTGATATCTGACAGGAAGAAGTGTTTCTTGCTTATCCTTGGTTATTTTGCATATTGAAGATTTGTCTAACTAGTGATTAATTATAGGATTTTAGTAATAATAGACATACTTTATGTTATAGATTATATTTTAGTTTCAACTCCTAGATATTGAAAGCAGGTCCTTAAACTCAATTATTACTATTATAAACACTGAACAAAAGCTTTATTGCACCTGCCTTAAATGTAGTTTTACATAGTATTTATATGCTTGTAACATGAACAGGAAGATAAGGAATTTGGAAGTTACTGTTATTTGCTGTTAACACTTACCAGCATAGCTTAATATTTGAATTACAACTATGAAATAATGACTGTTACAGGTAGGCGTTTTTTAATAACATATCTAAGTATTTTTTACTGGAAAAGATGATTATTGGTAGACATTGTGTAGATAAGCTTTAAAGAGAAATAGCCTTTAATTACTTTCTCCCTTCTGTATGTGAAGGTCCCTTTACCAAATAAGTCAAGATTGTTACGTTGTTAAATTTCTTTTTCCTTTTTTTTTAAAGATTTATTTTATTTTTATTGCAAAGTCAGATGTACAGAGGGGAGGAGAGACAGAGAGGAAGAACTTCTGTCCGATGATTCACTCCCCAAGTGACTGCAACGGGCGGAGCTGTGTCGATCCAAAGCCAGAAGCTCTTATGGGTCTCCATCGCGAGTACAGGGTCCCAAGGATCTGGGCCGTCCTTGACTGCTTTCCCAGGCCACAAGCAGGGAGTTGGATGGGAAGTGGAGCTGCTGGGGTTAGAACCGGCACCCATAAAGGATACTGGTGTGTTCAAGGCAAGGACTTCAGCTGCTAGTTCACCACGCCAGACCCCTAAATTTCTTCATGATTAGTATAATATCACTTGCTTGTTTATTTTAGGATATTTTTGTGATTAAGATATGATTTTTATTTACTTTTCCCTTATTTTGGGGAAAGATTTTTTTTTAATTGGAAAGTGAGATATACAGAGAGAAGGAGAGACAGGAAGAATTTTTGTCCATTGATTCAATCCTCAAGTGGCCCCAAGGCCAGAGCTGAGCTAATCAAAGCCAGGAGCCAGGAGCCTCTTTCAGGTCTCCCATGTGGGTGCAGGATCTCAAGGCTTTGGGCTGTCCTCCACTGCTTTCCCAGGCCACAAGCAGGGAGTTGGATGGGAAGCGGAGCAGCCGGGGCACACACCAGCGCCCATGTGGGATCCCGGTGTCTGGAAGGTGAGGACTTTAGCTTCTAGACTACCGCACCAGACCCTGGGAAAGATTTCTAATTTCTTTTTTTCCCTTATGGTATTTTTGGGTGGAGAACTTGGTGGGGAAAGGGAGAGATTAACAAATATTTATTATAATTCAATTGAGTTATCTATGTCAGGTCCTGTATTCCAGTTATGTCTAAAACATTTAGCATGTTTCTTAAAAGTCTATTCTGCCTGTTAGTTTGAATGCATCTGGAATGCTTACAGCAAGAAAACAGGTAGTAGAAACACTTTCATTTTTCCTCTTTTTTTTTTTTTTCTTTCAAAATAGAGAAGAAGTTCGTGCCCCAATTCCTCAAAAGCAGGAAATATTGGTGGAACCAGAACCCTTGTTTGGTGGTAAGTTAATTTTCCCTTCCCCCAGATTTACTTGCTCTGGTTACCTTTCTTGGGGATTCTAATGAAATTATCAAAAGATGTGAAAGGTTGGTCAGAGATTACTTCAAGTTTTGGCTCAATTTTTGTATTTCTGTACTTGTTTCAGTAAAGTTCTGCGGTTGATTGACAGTGATATATAAAAAGAATTTCTGCTTTGTATTGGAAACAAATCTGTTCTATAAAAGATGGGTTATGTTTTTTGTGTTCTGAATACCCACTTAACTACCATATCCTCACTGTCTTAATTTGCATTCTTTTGTAATGCATATTAGAATTGCCATCAAATTTCTGCAGATGCTGTTTCTATTTTCCATGCATGAGAAAATAAAATCCTATAGTAGTAATCTGATGGTATTGAGAAAGATAATAGAGAATAGTACGTTTAGGCAGATTTTGAAACAAAAATTATAAATATTTTGTGAACCAAAATGTATTAGACGTTAATAATTTGATTAAGAAAAGATGAATTTATATTCTGCTTTGGGAGGCAGAAACAGAAATATATATGGTATGTATTGAAGATTTATTTTTATTACAAAGTCAGATACACAGAGAGGAGGAGAGACAGAGAGGAAAATCTTCCATCCGATGATTCACTCCCCAAGTGAGCGCAATGGCCTGTGCTGCGCCAATCCAAGCCAGGAACCAGGAGCTTCCTTTAGATCTCCCAAGCGGGTGCAGAGTCCCAAGGCTTTGGGCTGTCCTCGACTGCTTTCCCAGGCCACAAGCAGGGAGCTGAATGGGAAGTGGAGCTTCTGGGATTAGAACCCGGCACCCAGATGGGATCTCGGCATGTTCAAGGCAAGGACTTCAGCCACTAGGCCATGCTGCTGGACCCGATATTTTTGTTCTTAATGTTGTTTACATAGTTGAGAAGGATACATGCTCATAAGGAGCATGGAGTAGGTAGAGTAGGGAAGGTCAAGGCATGGGGGAAGGTGAGTGGGACAAATGCTTCCGGTTTTCCTTTTCTCCTATATCTGGTGGTGGGGGTAGAGAGCAAGGGAGGGGGAAGAGGTTGATGCTAGCTATCAAAGTATATCAGAATTGAGTAGCTTTGCAATTTGCTAAAGCATGAAATGAAACCATCCTTTTTTATCCATTAGATCCAAAAATCCTTTGCTTAAGTCTGTTAAGTAAAATGGTATAGTGTCTATACATAACCTCTGTACTTCTTCCTGTGTACTTTAGGCCACCTCTAGTTTATTTATAGTACTCAATACAGTGTAACTGCCATGTAAATGGTTATGCTGTATTGCTTAAGAGGAAGATAAAAAAAAAGTGTATACTTGTTCAGTACATAGTTTTCCCCTCTGAGTATTTTCCATCTGTCTTGTGAAACTTGGGCTGTTGGTACTATCCAGATTCAGAAATAAAAGTAAGAGGAAAACATTAGGTCTGAACATTTTAGTGTAACATGCTTTCCACACTGTTCATTTCTGGTCATTATACTTTTGATACACAAATTAATCAAATTTATTTTAATAACATTTTTAAAATCCATGTATAGTTTTTTTTTTTTCTGTCAAAATAAGTGATTTTTGAAGAGCATTTGACTCAGTAGTTATGACGCCGGCATCCAGTATTAGAGTATTTGGTTTTGAATCCTGCCTTTGGGTCCTGGCTCCAGCTTCCTGCTAATGCATACCCTGGGAGGGAACAGATGCTGGCTCAAGTTGTTGAGTATATGCTCACCATGTGAGAATCCTGCATTGAGTTTCCAGATCTGCAGCTGTTTATAGTGATATAAAGCTACTTGCCGTTTCCATTGTCATGACATTTGGACTGAGTTCAGAAACAATGATAGGTAAAACTGTGCGTTTTAGTTGAATTAGGGAAGTAGTACCAAATGACACTGCTTCCTTTTACATAAGTGGATTTTATTTATTGTTATTTTAATATGAGTGAGGGAGTTGCAAATCCATTTGTTTTCACTTGTCTTTCAACTATTCTGACTTTTGAATCTCTTCACTCTTTGTTGCTTTCGCCTCTTAGACCTCATGACCACATGTCCATTCCATGGGCAGCAGATTAAGTTCAGGGGCTGCTGCTTGCTTGTGACAAATAATTTGGAAGAGCTAAGAAATAACATTGAAGAGGCAGGCAATGAGAGTGGTCTTTGGGTTAAGGGTGTTTTGGCCTGAAGCGAGGTTCTTGACTAAACTTAGAGTAGATGCAGGAGTTACAAGTGGGAGCAGGTTATGAGCACAGGATTTTAAAAGGTTGGGTAGTTGGCTAGCAATATGAGAAACCAATGAGAATACTCAAACTGCTTAATAGAGAAGGAAGAAATGGGAAAGCAAAGTGAATCATGTGAAAAGCTAACGGGCTTGTCTTTGGCATTTTGAAGTATAGGAAACTTTTGCTATGTCTTCTATAATAGGCTTTCTTAGGCAGTCGTTTTATATCCAATGCTAATGCAGTTTTATTAATTGTTATTGTTAGGGAATAGCAAACAACTGGTTTTAAGAAGGCATAACTTGGGTGTGGCATTGTGGATAAAGATATTGCTGGTGACTCCAGCATCCTATATGGGTGTTGGTTTGTGTCCTGGTTGCTTCACTTGCTATCCTGCTTCCTACTAATGGCCTGGGAAAGCAGCATGCGGATGATCCAAGGCCTGTGCCCTTGTCACCTGTGCAGGAGGCCTGGAGAAGTTCCTGGCTCTTGTTTTTGGCCTGCCTCAACTTTGCCCATTGCAGCCACTTGGGGAGTGAACCATTAAATGGAGGACTTTTTTATTATTCTTACTTTTAAATGGAGAAGTAACTCTTTAAAAAACCTGTATTATTTGATAGACTTTGTTATTCCTGCTACAAAAATATTTGAAATAGGAATTTCTAATCAGTAATTTTAAGATTGAAAATAACATTCTTTGAGTCTTAAGTAGAACAAAAGAAAGAGGGCGAGCTGAGAAGTTTTTTAAATTTTTAAAAATTCATTGTGAGCTGAAACATTAAAGTGTTTTACTTTTTTGCTAGATTACTTTTTCTAGAAGTAATATTGTGATTCTTTAAAATAAACATTGATACACATGTAAGTATGCAAGACATAAACCAAGTATGTTTTTAGCAAAGCTGAAGGTTTTAACATATGCTTCTGCAGTTTTTGTGTTTTCATTTTGTTCTTTACTCAGTAGTGTTCAGTGTATTAGAAAACACAGATTGTTGGGAAAGGATTTGCAATGAGTTGGGAGACTTTATACTCATCTAATCCTGCTCCTAATCATTTATTAACATGATCATTGACCTGGTTACATGGTGGTTATATTGAAAAAAAAATCATTAAAAGTCCTTGTGTATGGAACTGTATCATAAAATAATAAAAAAAAAAAGGAAAAAAGTCCTTATGTATTATAATATGTATGAGTGACCTGGCCAGTTTTTCCAGGTACATTTTGGTTATTAAATTGAAGATTCTGTATTAATTGCTCAAAGATGAGTAATAGGTATTTCTGAAACAGCAGAAATTTTTTTTAATTTACTTTTCTTTCACTATTACAGAATCTTGAGTGGGTTTTTGCTTCTTTCTCTGATTGTGTATCCAGTCACTTAGAGACCTTAAACCTGTGGTTTATGACCTTTTTACTCAAGCACACACCAAATGATGTTAGATGCCTTTGTTGTAGAGTGCAGTTAGCTTACACTAGACACAAGTGTAGATGTTAATAGGAGTCTTTATTGGCCAAGTTTGGTGACAGACATTCACATTGTGCTCTGGGAACCATGGCATAGGCAGAAGTCGAAGTCTGGGGTTTTTAAGCTCTCATCTTCCAGGCGATTGAGAGCCATACATGACAAAGTTTCCATGCATTTAGTTAGCGAAGTGGCAGGAGGGGGTCAGGTGTGGGCAGCCTCTGGAGACATTTCCCTGGGTCAATTAAGTTGAATGGCACAGGAGGCAGAAGGGTGGAGCATGTGCAAGGAGGAGCCTCCATAGCCACAGGCCTTCAGTTAACTTCAGTGGCAGTAGAGGAGGTAGGAAGGGTGGGCACAGAACCTCTGTGTCACAGTCTGCTTGCACCCCATCACATCTTACTGTGTGTCTGTTGCTTCCATTTTATGTGGAGTCAGATTGAAAGTCATCTTGCTCTCTAATTCTGCCAATTGGACACCGGCTTTTCACACCTATTTGGTCAGTTCTAATAGGAATGTAGTTTTTTTCATTTGTGACACAGATGAGTGGACAAAAGATGGCTGGATTAAGAATGACGAAAGTTTCAAAAACTTTTTGGTTTTTGAAGGAGAATATCATGCGCGTCATCAATACATAATAAGGAAGTTTTTAATGTTTATTTAAAAATCAATTCTATTTTTCCCCTAAAGCTCCTAAAAGACGACGACCTGCACGATCAATATTTGATGGTTTCCGAGATTTTCAAACTGAAACTAGTACGTATTTGTGGGCCAACTTATTTCCCTCTCCCCTGCCCTATTAAAAAGAAAAAGATGATTAACGTTAGGCAGTTAAATCTACTTTGAGGATTCACCTTATTTACAGAGTGAAGTAGCCAAGGTGTGCATTTGGTGCGGCAACTGCTTAGGGTGCCTGCATCCCATCCTGGACTGCTCTGCTTTCAGCTCCATCTTCCCGTTAATGCATACACTGGGGGCAGCAGGTGATTGCCCAGATATTTAAAGATTTATTTTTATTATTTTTTTCATTGGAAAGGCGGATATACAGAGAGGTTAGACAGAGAAGAAGATCTTCCGTCCGATGATTCACTCCCCAAGTGAGCGCAACGGGCCAATACTATGCCAGTCCGAAGCCAGGAGCCTCTTCCGGGTCTCCCACGCGGGTGCAGGTTCCCAAAGCTTTGGGCCGTCCTCGACTGCTTTCCCAGGCCACAGGCAGGGAGCTGGAAGGGAAGCGGGGCTGCCAGGATTAGAACCGGCGCCCATATGGGATCCCGGGCGTGCAAGGCAAGGACCTTTAACCACTTGCGCCACCGCGCCGGGCCTGCCCAGATATTTAGGTCTCCAACCATAGACGTGAGAGACTCGGATTGAGTTTCCCGGACTGGCTGTTGCAGTTATCTTTATCTGGGAGGTCAGCAGGTGGATGAAAAGACTTTGTCTCTCAGCCTTTCAGATAAGTAAAAAAACAAATGGAGGTATTAAAAATGATTAACTTGTTCCTAAATTTGAAATGTTCTAAATTCTAAAATGTTTTGCTTATAGAATAAATGTTGTAATTAGGAAGTTTGCTAATTTATGAATTTAATTGGCTTCTAAATGAGTACTGAAATGCTGAGTATAATAATGTAAAAAAAACTAATTTTCCCAAGGATCCTGATATCTGTCAAAAAATGGAATTATTATATCAAAAATGGCTATTGCAAATGGTTGAAAACTAGAAGAAAAAGTCATATTGTCCAAAGCAGTCACTTTAAGCATTTTGGCTACAATTGCTTGGAATAGGTATGTATCATTCTGTGGAATAAGTTAGAGTGAGAATCTCTTTTTTTTTTTTTTTTAAGATTTTTTTTTTTCATTACAAAGTCAGATGTATAGAGAGGAGGAGAGACAGAAAGGAAGATCTTCCGTCTGATGATTCACTCCCCAAGCAGCACTGTTCCAAAGCCAGGAGCCAGGAGCTCTTCTGGATCGGCCATGCGGGTGTAGGGTCCCAAGGATTTGGGCTGTCCTTGACTGCTCTCCCAGGCCACAAGCAGGGAACTGGATGGGAAGTGGAGCTGCTGGAATTAAAACTGGTGCCCATATGAGATCCCAGCGCATTCAAGACCACTGTGCTGGGCCCTAGATTGAGAATCTTTAAAGAATTAAAAAGGTTGTTGTCTCTGTTGCCAGAATCCTTAAAGATTGAGCATGAAGGTAGACAGAGATGAATTAGATCATTTCAGAGCCTGACACCATAGCCTAGTGGCTAATTCCTTGCCTTGCAAGCCTGGGATCCCAAATGGGTACCAGTTTATATATCAGTTGCTCCACTTCCCATCTAGCTCTCTGCTTGTGGCCTGGAAGAGCAGTAGAGAATGCCCAAGGCCTTGGGACCCTATACCGACATGGGAGACCCAGATGAGGCTCTGGCTCTGGCTTCAGATTGGCTCAGCTTTGGCCTTTGCGGCCACTTGGGAAGTGAATCAGTGGATGGAAGATCTTTGACTCTGCTCTTCTCTCTGTATTGCCTTTCCATTAAAAATAAATGGGTCATTTAAAAAAATCACTTTCAGAGCTAAAAAAGTGAGGCTTAAAAGTTTTCTTCTAAATTTTTGTGTATGTGAATGAAACTGTTTTCATTCGGAGTCTTTGATCTTAATTTTTATTTATATCTACTTGAAAGCTTGGGGGAAATTATATTCTACCTATTGGTTCACGTCCAAATGCCTGCAACAGTCAGGGCTGCGCTAGACCAAAATCAGGAGTGCAGAGCACCATCCAGGTCTCTTGACTAAGCACTTAGGCCATCGTCTGCTTCCCTCCAGTGTGCATTAACAGGAAACTGAAGCAGAAAAAGTAAGACTCAGACTTACCACTGTACCACAATACCCACGTGTCTCTGTTTTAATTAATTTTATGATTTTATCCTTCCTTGGGTGAACACCTTTGAGCTTTGAGACTCCCTTCTTAACCCTCTGTTCTCCCCATCCCCCCCGAGCCAGCTCTCGATTTTTGGGTTTGCAGTCAAGTGCATTATTTGTTAATTTTCCCAGTTGGTGCAAGGGTTTGTTGTTATTGTTGCATTCATGACTATTCTATGATTCAAACTTTTTCTTCCTGTGTTCCAGTTCGGCAAGAACAGGAATTAAGAAATGGAGGAGCAATAGATAAGAAACTGACTACTCTTGCAGATTTATTCCGGCCACCCATTGACTTAATGCATAAAGGCAGCTTTGAAACAGTAAGCTTTCTGAGAGTATTTCATTTTTTTTAACGGTTTGTTTATTGGAAAGTCATATATACAAAGAGGAGGAGAGACAGAGAGCAAGATCTTCCGTCCGATGATTCACTCCCCAAGTGACTGCAACAGCTGGAGCTGCACTGATCCAAAGCCAGGAGCCAGGAACTTCCTCCAGGTCTCCCACATGGGTCCAGGGTCCCAAGGCTTTGGGCTGTCCTCGACTGCTTTCCCAGGCCACAAGCAGGGAGCTGGATGGGAAGTGGGGCCGCCGGGATTAGAATCAGCGCCCATATGGGATCCTGGCACGTTGAAGTCGAAGACTTTAGCTGCTAGGCCACAGTGCCAGTCCCAGGAGTTTCATTTTTAATGCCATTTCTTTTTCTGAAACCAAAAAAATATTTTCAGAATATAGAAAATAAATGTTAGTAAGAATTTCTGGAATAGGCCAGGTTAAACCATGGCCTGTAATGATGGCGTCCCTAATGGAGTTCTGGCCTGTTGAATTCTGGTCCAGCTTCTTGTGATGCTTTTGGGAAACCTGTGGAAGGTTTACTCAAACAGGAAACCTGGATGGAGTTCCAGGCTCTTGACTTTCACCATGCCAGCTCCAGCTATTTGCAGTCATTTGAAGTATTAATGAACAGTGGAATATTCTCTATGTGTATGTGTGTTTGTCTCCATCTCTCTCTCTCTGCCTTTCAAAGTCTTATTAAAAAATCTTTAAAAGCATTAAGTACATGATATACCTAAAGCTTACTAAGACTTACATTTCATCGGTCAAGATGCACAGTGTATTTTTCCTACCAGTGTATGAAATTGTTTGTTAAATTCTTGTATTATTAGCTTTGTGTGACCTTGCTTTGGAAGCTTTACTGTTTTGATATTTTTTTTAATCACTATCGTTTATTTGAAAAGTAAAATTAGAGAGGAACAACAGACAGTATTTTCCATCTGCTGGTTCAGTCCTATAATGGCTGCAGTCTGTAATGACAGTGACTCCACTTTCAATCCAGCTCCCTGCTAATGCTCCTGGAAAAGCAGTAGAGGCTGCATACCTGCCTGCCTTCCCCCACACGCCCCCCTGCCTCCCTTCCTTCCTTCCTTTTTATTGATTTGTATTATGAAGGCAGATTTTACAGAGAGAAGGATCTTCATTCCACTGGTTCACTCTCCAAATGGTTGCAGTAGCCGAAGCTGAGCTGGCCTGAAGCCAGGAGCTTCTTCTTGGTCTCCCCTGTGGGTGCAGGCCCAAGGCTTTTTACTTGTTCATATTCGGTAAAGTATTAAGCCTTCTGTTATAAGTCTAAAATGTGTTATTTCAGAAGTTAGCGGAAGAAGAACAGATGAGGAGGAGGAGACGTCATTTTCTTAGAATTAATTATACTGAATTTGTTAAATATTAATTAAAATGTAAAATACATGGAAAGGGGACAGCTTTTGAGTTGAAGCTGAACGTCACCAGATAGAAATTGTTTGTAACGAATATTGTGTAACTTTATTCTGATAGGCCAAAGAGTGTGGCCAGATGCAAAATAAGTGGCTGATGATAAACATCCAGAATGTGCAAGACTTTGCATGCCAGTGTCTCAACCGTGATGTGTGGAGTAATGAAGCTGTAAAGAATATTATCCGGGAACATTTCATTTTCTGGCAGGTGAAGTGAAGTGTTTTTGTTTGTTTGTTTTTTTTTTTTTAACATTCATGATGAATAAAAAAGTAAGAGCAAGCAGATGACGGCAGTGAACTTCTAGGAGATGGTGGGCAGGAGATGGGGGACAACTGTTTAACAGGAAAGCTCTTTAAAAAGTTCATGGGAAATGAGTATTTTGAAAGATTAAAGAATTCTATGGAAGTCAAGCAAAAGAGGGAGACAACACAGAGAGAGAGGGAAAAGGGGTTATGGAGAGATCTTTCATATGCTGGTTCACTCCCCCAGGTTTTGCAATGCTAGCTAGGGCTATGCCAAGCCAGGAGCTGGAACTTGCTATGGATCTTCCCTGTGCAGGAACCCTAAGTTAGATATTCTTTTAACTATTTATGTCCTTGACATGTCACTTAGTCTTACTGACTCTAGTTTCTTGACATATTTAATGTTGAGCTGAGGTTAAATGGTTTTGTATCAGTTTTAAAATTTTGTAGAAAATTAAAGAAAATAAAAACTTTTGAATGAATTTGATCTTTTTGGTACTGCAAGATAATACTACTAGTGGTATTAATTTGTCCATTCATGGTTTAGAGGCCCCTGAATTCTGTGTATCTTTTTAATAGTAATTGCATTCTTTACAAACATTTTTATTGGGGTTGACCTTGTAGTACAGTAGCTTAAGCTGCCACTTGCAATCCAGGCGACCACATGGGCTTCAGTTAAGTCCTAGCTGCGATACTTATGGTCCAGCTCCCTGCTAATGAAGATGGCCCAAATCCTTAGGCCCCTGTACTGATGTAAGAGACTCATATGAAGCTCATGGCTCTTGGCTTTGACCTGGCCCAGTCTCAGCCATTGTAGTGTTTGGGGAGTGAACCAGCTGACTAATGAATGATCTGTCACTCCCTATGTTTTCTAACTCTTTCAAATAAATAAAGAAATCTTAAAGCAGAAAAACTTTCAGTTTATATTGATTGAGCTTCTTTGTCCACCGCTGTGCTAAGCCCTCAGATTTATAATGTTAATATATTATTGTGATTTATTAAGATACATATGTGAAAGTCGAGAATGAAGTAGGTAAACAGATAATTTGAATGGAAAGAGCAGTACCTCTGCTTAACTGAGAAAGATGATTGCTAAGTTTCCAGGGGGACTGAGGACAAAATTTTGAGGGAATTCTCCCAGATGAACTTCATTTTCTCTTTTCAAAGGAATGAGATTCCAGCACATGGCAATTTTATCAAAGGTGTATTTGTAAAATCAATTGCTATTGTTGTAAAAGCAAAGTTATATTGATTCTTTATTTTATATTATTGATTTAACAGGTTTATCATGACAGCGAGGAAGGTCAGAGATACATACAGTTTTATAAGCTAGGGGATTTCCCCTATGTTTCTATCCTGGACCCGCGGACAGGTAAGAACTGTCAGTACGGTCTTCAAACTGTCATGTATCTTTAGTTAAATGATGAACCTTTAATATTTGACTAGATCTGGTTTCAGAATTATAATTTAGGTACAGAATTCCTATTCGTTCCTAATTAAATGCTTAAATACCAGTTGGTATGTTTGAGGACTTTTCTGACAACTTTGGAAGAAGGTAATGTTTTTAATGTTTTTTTAACATTTTTGAAAAAAAGAACTGATATTCTCATCATTTTACAAGTGATTCCTTTAGGTTTTAATCACAAAAATATTGATTGTTCAGGTATTGATTGAAATCCCCACCAGAGAAACAGAGATTAGAGTTGTTCTATTACTAATTGAGTGTGTTTCATGTGGATGTTGCTTTGGCTCTGTCCTTCTGTATGTTAAAATAACATCAGTGTCAATCAGATGATTTCCCCTATCATGGTAGATTGGAATCTGTTGAATGAGTTAAATTAATATGTCTTCCTGGTTATAAAGGTAACTTAGCCTGACAGGGATAGAGATATGGATTCACTCTAAGTTTTAATTATACATGTGCTAAAAAAATTACCTGATAAGAATGTTTAGGAAATGTATTGATTTTATTGTATCTGTATGTCTTGGTTTCTAATCTTCAGGTCAGAAGCTAGTGGAATGGCACCAGTTAGATGTGTCTTCTTTTTTGGATCAAGTGACAGGATTTCTGGGTGAACATGGGCAACTGGATGGACTTTCTAGCGGCCCGCCCAAAAAATGTGCCCGCTCAGTAAGTATGACCAGGAAGTGGTGATGGGTAGATAAGGGTAACTGTGGAGGTTTCTTGTAAAATGATGGCAGAGATAATAATGAAGGGTAGTGAACAGTTACTGTTTGTGACTGTACAATATTGGTCCTATGATATATTTACTCTTTTTCATCTTAAGGCAATCCCATGATGGGTTACCTTGCAGCTAGGGTTTAGGCACATGAATTAACATTTGGATCTTGAAATAAACAATGTAAATGGGCAGAGAAGGGGATCTGACTTAGCAAGCCTAGGAGAGGCTTTTGTTTTCTCCGGAAGTAATTAAATGGCTTTTGGTGTCCAGATTTAGCAATGGAAATGAAATATTTACCAGAACAACTTGTGGTTTAATTGTAGCTTACTACCAACCTCTGTACCCCTTCTCAAAATTATTTCTAAACTTAGTGTCTTCTAAAGAAAGCTTGCATTGAACAGGTATATGTAATGATTGGTATTAAGATTAGGTTAGGTAGATCTTCAAAACTGCAGTAGCTTCACACTAATTGTTATTTGGGATGATGTCCATGAGTATAGAAATAGTCCTTACCCTTTCACTTTGTTAGTCCTCTCAAGTATTATTAAACCATTCCAGAGGTTAAATATTGAATTATCCAAAGAAAAAGCTTTAAGATGTAGTGTACATGAGTCTTTTTTAAGGCATTAAAAAATAATTATTTTTTCTTACTTAAAAAGTAGAGACACAGATCTTCCACCCTCTGATTCACTCCCGCAGAAGCCCACAACAGTCAGAGTTAGGCTAGGCTGAAGCTAGGATCCCAGAGCTCAGTCTGGGTTCTCCTGTAGGAGTGTAAAGACCCAGGCTCTTTTTCACGATTCAGGTGAAGAAACATAAGGATGCCTTCCTCCTCTCCCTGCTCCTCCCAACCCTCATTTGTTTAAGACTATTTCTTGATCTTAAGCAGTAACAAGCTTAACATTCTGGCATTTGAAGATACTGTGACATAGCTAGTAGAGGATACTTAACATATTTGTAGTTCTCAAGTATTTTAGTTTTGTTTTTCTTGATATAGTTCCATAGGCACAGGGATTCCCCTTCTTTCCCCCCAGCTGCTTTCCTCTGATATATGTAAAAGTACAGTCTTTGAGAAACAGTTGCCAAGTCCAACATTCTGCTATGAAATCTATCATGGTATTGTAGGTATAGACAGTGGTAAAAAAACAAAAAATCTGGTGTCCTGTTCTTAAGATGTATTTAACAGTTTCATTGGGAGTCCTCCTTTTATTGGAGAGGAGATGAATATTACAGCTTATCTTCACTTCTTGGTATGCTAGTGTCCAATCTGCAGTTCATCTGTGAGAATACATGTATATACATATTTACTTATATATTTATTTATTTTGTATTTTGCATGAAGTACCTTAGGGAAAACATATGATATTTGTCCTTTTGGGATTGGCTTCTTTTTAAAAAATTATTTAATTTTTGATGTTTACATAGTTGACAAGAATGCAGACCCTTGAAAATCACTGAATAGGATGATGAGGGTTAGAGGTATGGGAGAAAATAGATGGGACACATTCTTCCAATTTTCCTTTTCTTCTATATGGGCAGGTGAGTGGGAGGGGGCAGACTACATCGGTACGCAGGGATAAGGATGTCCAGTTGAGGTCATCTTAGAAACCCCAGTGTGTGGACTCCCAATGTATCTAGACAGTGGGATGATGGACTGTGTGACATTGTCTTTACCAGCAGTGTTGGAGCACACTTAAATAACATACTGATGTAATTGTAACTCCTTATGAAGAGTTGTGACGTTATCAGAAAAATCAGTCGGGGGGTGAAAATTGGAGGGAGGGGAACCCCAGACTATGCAGAATTGTGCGATAAATTTATATATATACGTGTGTGTGTGTGTGTGTGTGTGTGTGTGTGTGTGTGTTTTTGAATTATGAGGTACAATTGCGTATAGGCTGGGATTCCCTCCCAAACTCCCACGCCCCATCAGATTTTTCCCATTTTATTACAGCAGTGTAGTCCTTTATAAGGAATCATAATTCTATCAGTTGCTTATTTTAGTGTACCCCGGCATTGTTGGTACAGACAATGCCAGACAGTCCAGCATCCCATTGTCTACACATGTCCAACAATTTCATTGGGAATCTATCTTTTGTCTGGAAGCAGGAATGCATGTTCCATTATACCCACATGTCCGTATGACAGAACCCAGTACCCATCACTATACATTTCTATAAGTGGGAATAAAAATAAAAATTAAAAAAGATAATAATAAGAAACTCTAATGTGGAGAATAATGTTGTGACGGTGTTGCTTGAGTGGTTTCGGTAGTCCCAAGACACTGTTGCTTTTATTGCTCCAAGGTTGAGAAAATACTTCTAACGTCCATTGGCTGACAAAGTTCACCCAAGTGCATCCAGACACCTGCCAAAGCTTGGCCAGAAGAGTTTTCCAACCTGTTTGTTCTCTATCTTCTTACATAACACTCATGTTCTCTGCAGGTCCAAATGAGCTGGCCATCATGTTCCCCTTATGCACCTGGGCATGCCGTCCACTGCATAGACATGAGCAGTCGAGGCCTAGTCCTGATATGTGCATTCTTTTTTTTTTTTTAAAGATTTATTTTATTTTTATTGGAAAGGCTGATACACAGGAGGAGAGACAGAGAGGAAGATCTTCCGTCTGATGGTTCACTCCCCAAGTGAGCGTAACGGCCGATGCTATGCCAATCCAAAGCCAGGAGCCTCTTCTTGGTCTCCCTCGTGGGTGCAGGGTCCCAAAGTTTTGGGCCGTCCTTGACTGCTTTCCCGGGCCACAGGCAGGGAGCTGGATGGGAAGCAGGGCTGCCGGGATTAGAACTGGCGCCCATATGGGATCCTGGGCGTGCAAGGCGAGGACCTTAACCACTTCGCTATCACGCCAGGCCCCTGATATGTGCATTCTGTGGTTGTACCACAAATCCTATGATTTCATCCTGTAGCTGGAGTCTGATGGTCCAAGAAACTTCACCTGGGTGACCTCAGGCCTGATTCTTGCATATGCCAGCCAGTACAGGGTCCAGTTCAGTCCATCACTCATATTAGCATTAGCATATAAACACGCTGGTGAAAATAGTTGACCAGTTAGATTTGTTTTCAGCGTACATCCCATACAAACCAATAAGGACTGTGGCCCAGCCCAGCCCAGGCCTGTCCCCAGCCCCAATTCCTGCACATGCCAACATGTATGGCAGACTAATCCAGCCTGTGCTCCATCCACCTATGGGTGTTACAATTTAGCTTAGTCCAGCTCATCCCATGAACCAGTCTGCATGTATGTTGATGGAAGCTGCTTCTGTCCAGTCTGGCCCACTCCAGTCCTGGCTCTCTTGCACATCAGTGGTAGCTGCAGTCCAACAGAGTACCCAGTTTGCCTAACTAGGCCCAGTTCCCATCCCAGAACTTGCACTTTACAGGGAGTACTGCAGTCCAGTCTGACACAACTTGCATCCTGTTCCAGCACTTGCTAGTGGATGCTGTTGCAAAGCCTGACCCATCAGCACTTATCCTGGCTCTTGTATTGGCCATTGGATACGGTGGCCTGGCCTAGTCCAGCCCTTCCCAAAACCCAGTTCACATGCAGGCTAAGGGTTGTTGCAACCTTGCCCGGCACAGAGTGCCCCCAGTCCCAGCTCTTATACTCAGCAGTGGGAGCAATGTTTCAGCAGTGGAGTGCTACAGCCCTCTACTAGGTTTTTTCCTAGCCTGGGGTCTGGCATGTGCCACTGGGTGCCATGGCCCATCTCATCTTGGCATGAGCTGGCCTCTCCCCATTTCTGGCTCATGCCACGGGTGCTGCAGCCAGCTGGCCTGGTCTGCTGTCTTGTCCTGACTCCCAGACCTGCTAGAAGGTATTGTAGAGTGGTCCAACCTGGCCCACCCCCAGATCTGACTCACGTTATGCCAGTGGGCACTGTAGCCAAGCCTGGCCTGAACTGCCCCTGCCTTGAGTCCTGTGCTCACCAGCCAGGGCTATGCTAACAAGGGAGTTCCTCAAAGTCCTCTATTAGATCAGCACCCAGTTGTAGCTCTTGCACACACCATTGTTTGGCTGAGCCTGATTTGGCCCACCTCCAGTCCAGACATTTACTGGAAGATATGGTGGCTTTACCAGAGCAGCCCACACCTTTTTGGCTCTCATTGGTGGATGTTACAACCAAGCCTTACCTGCCCTACCCCCAGACCCAGATCTCATGTTGATCATGGTGCTATGACCTAGGTCAGCCCAACCCCTACCCATTCTGGTCTTGTGAGCTCCAATACTGGCATACCCAGACACAGTGCATATATAATGAAGGATGTTATAACCAGGTTCAGTCCATTCCACCCTTATTCCCAGCTCTCAAGCTCAACTGTTGGAACTGCAGCCCAGCAGGAGGTTCCCCTTAGCTCCCTTACCAGGCCCACTCCCAGCTACAGATCTTAGGCATGCTGGTGGTTGCTCTGACCCAGCCTGGCCTGGCTCATCCCCAGTCCTAACTTACGGGTGGGTCTTGCAGCCTAGGCCTGCCTAGCTTGTCGCCATCCCTGGCTCTCATGCAAACTAATAGATATGATAGCCTAGCCAATCATGACCCACATCCCATCTTGGCTCCTGTGCATACCAGTGTACTACAGTTTGGCTCAGCCTTGCCTAGTCCACCCCGCAAGCCAGCCATACACCTGCCAACAAGTGGAGCAGCCTTGTCAGGTGTGGCACACACCCACCCCTGACTCTTGAGCTCACCAGCGGGAGCTACAGCCTAATAGGAGTTTCCCTACTAGGTTCACTCCCAGACTCGGATCTCACGCAGGCCACTGGGTGCTAGGCCTCTAGCCGATATGTTCTGTCCTTCTGTACCCCCAGTCTCAGCCTTTGTGTATGCTGGTAGATGTTGCAGCCAGGACCATCCTACACACCCATTGGGTGCACTTGCAGATGCTATAGCCTGGAGCAGCCTGGCCTATTCCCGGTCCCAGTACTCATGAGTGTTGGTGAGTTCATGGTCATGCTAGCTTGGCTCATCACCACTCTCCTACCCATTTGCATACCCCCTTCTCTAAGCAATTCACAGTCCCCATTCCCGGAAGAACACAGTTCCCCAAGTCAGGTTTTCCAGCTGTTCCATGTCAGTGTGCAGGGATTCCCAGACCCTGTCTGCTGGTGTGCTGGCTGGGGTCCTGTTTGTTTTTCTGGGGTCCATGTCCAGTTGCATGCTGACCCCCAGAATCCTTGTGCCAATTTCTTCTCTGGGATTTCATTGAGTATAATGGTCTCTAGTTGGGAACATTTTATTGCAGATGGTACAATTTCATTCTTTTTAATAAGTTTGCCAAGTTTTGATATTGAGGATCCTTAAAAAAAATGATTTGTTTATTTTTAATGGAAAGGCAGATCAGATTTTTACAGAGAGAAGGAGAGACAGAGAAAGAACTTCCACCTGCTGGTTCACTCCCCAAATGACTGCAATGGCTGGAGCTGAGCTGATCCAAAACCAGAAGCCAGGGGCTTCTTCTGGGTCTCACACACGGGTGCAGGTTCCCAAGGCTTTGGGCCATGCTCCACTGCCTTCCCAAGCCACAAGCAGGGAGCTGGATGGGAAGTCAAACAGCTGAGACAGAATCAGTGCCCATATGGTGCTGGTGCTTGCATGCCAAGGACTCACCAATTGAACCATTATGCTTACCCTTATGAAAATATCTTTTAAAAATAAAAATTTTATGATATTCAGTGTGTCTACATCTTCAATTGAGAAGAATATATATGTTTTAATTTGAGGGAAAGGTGTAGTGTGTTAAGCCACCATCTGCCACACTGACATCCGATATGGTATGGCTGCTGGTTTGAGATCCAGCTGCTCAACCTCTGATCAAGCTCCCTGCTAATGCAACTCTGCTTTGCAAACAAAACATAAATAACTTGAGGGAAGGAGAGAACGAGTCAGTATGTGAGCAAGCATGCATGAGCAAGTGTCCCTCTTGTGGCTCCCTTCAGTGTCTGCAACAGCTTCATCTGATCTAGGAACCAGGAACAGAGCCTGGATCTCCCTTGGTATCCAGTTGCTTGAGCTGCTGCCTCACAGGTCTACGTTAGTGCAAAGCTGGAAGTGGGAGCCAGAGCTGGGAATTCACCCCAGGCACCAGTCTTTTTACTGATGCCTTACCCGTTGGCCCAAATACCACCTCCAACATTTTTCTGTTATACTTTATGCTTTGGGGCCTATGAAGTATTTGCAGAACCGAAGGTTTTACTTTTAAGATTTTTATAGTTTTAGGTCTTGAGTTTGTGATCCATTTTGAACTATTTTTTATGTGTCAGATTAAATTTGTTTTTTAATTTTTATTTTGTTACATATGAGTTTCAACTTTGTGGTGTATATGGGTATCAGAATGATTTGTTGGAAAAAAATTTTCCTTTTCCCATTGAATTCCCTTCTGTCTTCTGTATGCATAGATTTGTTTATGGACTCTTACCATTTGGTCTGTCTTTTGTAATAGTATTTTACTGTCTTAATTATTGTAACTTTATAGTAAGTCTTGAAATCACATGATGTAAGACATTCAACTTTAAAAAAATTATTTTGTTTAAAGTCCCTTACATTTTAATGTTAAGCTTTAGAATCAACCTCTCCGTTTGTATCAGCAAGCTGCTGGAATTTTGATTGGAATTTTAGAAGCTTATGGATCATTTTGAGTATTTACATTGTAATATTGAATCCTCAAATCTATAAGCATGGAATGTGTCCCTGTCTTTACTCCTTGCAGCAACACTTTATAGTGTTGAATGCTGTGTAGCTTGCAGCCTCACTAAATTCATTGATTACTTCTGTGCTCGTACTATCAGCCAATAGACTTGACCATGATCTTCAGTACAACATTAGATATAGATTGTGAAATTAGAAATCTCTACTTAGTTTCTGGTTTGAGATGATTAATATTCAATCTTTTACCATTAGTTTTATGTTTTTAATCCAGAATGGATTTGTCATCATTTCTTTTTTTTACATCTGTGGGAATAATAAAAGAGTTTTCTGTTTTCTAAAAACAAATTTATTTAAGAGGAGTAGGGGAGAGTGAGTGAGAGAAGTTAAATTTGTTGGTTTATACCTCATGTGCTTACAATAGCCAGGGCTGGGTCAGGCCAAAGCAGGAGCTGTAACTCATTTTAGGTCGTCCCTCATGGGTGGCAGAAACCAAATGCTTTGGCCACTGCTTGCTGCCTTCAACTTGTACTTTTGCAGGAAGCTGGAGTTGAAAGCATAGTTGAGGCTCTGACCCAGACTCTCAGAGGGTTTCAAGTGTCATCTTAACTGCTGTGCCAAATGCTTCTGTGGAGCGAATTTCATTGGTTGGGTTTTGGATGTTAAGCCAACTTTGCATTCCTTGCAAAACATCATTTAGTTGTAAGCATTAGTTTCTTTTTTTTTTTTTTTAAGATTTATTTATTTTTACTACAAAGTCAGATATACAGAGAGGAGGAGAAATAGAGAGAGGAAGATCTTCTGTCCGATGATTCACTCTCCAAGTGACTGCAATGGCTGGTGCTGCGCTAATTCGGAGCTAGGAGCCAGAAACTTCCTCCAGGTCTCCCATGCAGGTGCAGGATCCCAAGACTTTTGGCTGTCCTCGACTGCCTTCCCAGGCCACAAGCAGGGAGCTGGATGGGAAGTGGAGCCACCGGGATTAGAACCAGCACCCATATGGGATCCCGGCACGTTCAAGGCGAGGACCTTAGCTGCTAGGCCATACTTCTAGGCTCAGCCTTAGTTTCTTTATATACATATATTACTTAATTTGATTTTGTCAAGAATTTGTGTTTCTGTGTTCATGAAGTTTGTTGATTTCAGTTTTTTGGGATGGAAGACTTTGTTTTATTCCCCTCTGCCTTGTAATACTTTGTAATGTCATTTGTCTGGTTTTGGCTAATGTTGCCCTCACAGTGAATTAAGAAGTGTTTCCTCCTTGGTTTGTCCAGTTACATGATTTCTTCCTTAATGTTTTGTTTTTAAAATATCCATTCTAATTTAGCTAAGATAGAATCCTTGCTTTCCAGTAGTTTTAAACTTCAGCGGGAAAGAGACAGTATACCAGAAAATAATCATGGCTAGTTATTATGTTAGTTCTGCCCTGTTTGACGTGACTGTTCCTTGGTTTAATTGCTTTTTTTTTCACCCTGTCTTTCCACGTGTTTTGCCTGTGTCTCACAGGAAAGCCTGATAGATGCAAGTGAGGACAGCCAGCTGGAAGCTGCCATCAGAGCCTCTTTGCAGGAGACACATTTTGACTCCACGCAGACGAAGCAAGATAGTCGTTCAGATGAGGAATCTGAATCTGAACTTTTTTCTGGTAGTGAAGAGTTCATATCTGTATGTGGCTCTGATGAAGAAGAGGAAATCGAGAATCTTGCCAAGTCTAGAAAATCTCCCCACAAAGATTTGGGGCATAGAAAAGAAGAGAACAGAAGGCCACTGCCTGAGCCCTCTGCTAGAACTGAGCCTGCAACAACCACAAACCACCAAGGATTGCCAGCTATGGATTCTGAAATCTTGGAGATGTCGGCTGAAAAGTCAGATGGGATAGTGGAGGGGGCAGATGTCAACGGTGGGTTACACTATAGACTTACTTAAAAATGTGAGCATTGCTGAATAGCTTTGTTTTTTATGTATTAATCTGAATCTGTCTTAAGCATTTGTGTCTTTTTTTTTTTTTTTTAACCTTTCGATCAGGACCAAAAGCACAGCTGATGTTGCGATATCCAGATGGAAAAAGGGAGCAGATCACTCTGCCAGAACAAGCGAAACTGCTAGTAAGTGTTTGTAATTGGAAGCATTTGCTTGAAGCAGAGAGACTAATAAATAGAGCTAGTTAGGGAGTATTGCTAAATGAGCTTTTAAAGTAGGTGTTAGATACTCAATTTGATCTCTAACTGGAAATTCACATCTGTAGTGGAACCTTCTCTCTGGCCATTTACAGTAGCAAAGAGTGACTGTAAAGCAAGTAAGCTCTGGAAGCTGTAGGACAGATAACTCGGAAGGATTTCCGGACAATGGAAATAAGCGTCGTAAGACTCACTGGTTTGTTTGAAAGGCAGAGTTAACAGAGCGAGCTATAATCTGTCCACTGGCTCACACCTCAGGTAACCACATGGCCAGGGCTGGTCCAGGGCAGAGCTGGGAACCTGGAGCTTCGTCTGGGTCTCCCAGGTAGGTGCAGAGGTCCATACACTTGGCCATCCTCTGCTACTCTCTCAGGCCTAAGTAGGGAACTGGACTGCAAGAGGAACAGCCAGGGCTCACATTGGTACCCATATGGGATGTTGGTGCTGCAAATGGTGTCTTAACATGCAATGCCACAATGCTTGGTCCAGTTCATGTTTTACATAGTGTATCATTCTGGAGTACTGTGATGTCATCTTTCACTGTCTCCTGCTCTGCTGTCCAGAACTTGAGTCATCCTTTTGGGTAGTGTGTACCAATACTGTATACACTGTCTGCTCATTAGCCAACTAATCACCTCTTACAGCATCTCAGTGCTTGTGGCCAAGGAATCCTTATTTTATGTAATGACCCCAAAGCTCAAGGGTGATTGTGCAGTATATTATTAGAATTGTTTATTTTTTTTTTAAGATTGATTTTTATTGGAAAGTCATATATACAGAGAGGAGGAGAGACAAAAAGGAAGTTCTTCCATCCACTGACTCACTTCCCATGTGGCCGCAACGGCAGAAACTTAGTCAATCCAGAGCCAGGAGATTCTTCCGGGTCTCATGTGGGTGCAGAGTCCCAAGGCTTTGGGCCGTCCTCGACTGCTTTTTCCCAGACCACAAACAGGGAGCTGGATGGGAAGTGGGGCATGAACCAGTACCCATATGGGATCCCAGCCTGTGCAAGGCCAAGACTTTAGCCACTAGGCTACCATGCCAGGCCCAGAATTGTTTAATTTTATTGTTTAAGTTCTTAGCATGTTTGATTTATAAATTAGACTTTAGGAAAAACCATTATGTAGAGTGTTTGGTGCTTTGTGATTTCAGTCATCCACTAGTGTATTGGAACATATTCCCCTCATGGAGAAGGGGGCCCTGCTCTAGGTGAATTTTTGGAGATGATTGTAAAGCTGGAGAGAAGCATGAGTGGACAGAAGCCAGAGGGAAAAGTTGATTGAAGAGACAGCTTGTCTGTTTCCTGGGAAACATCTGAAAAGGAAGACATTGAAGAACTTGTAAAGGAGATATTCTGTAGTGATTTGGTTTCTAAGAAAGCAGGAAGGAATTTGCATGGGTGGCAAGGTTGATTATCACTAGAAGGAAGATATATTTTCACTGATAAAAGAACTGATAAGACAAAATATTTTAAAATTAGGACATGAGTTTTACAGGAAACAATTGGATTTGTTGCAGGAGAGACAATAATTCTGATCATTTCAATATTACTTAATGGTCCTAACTTACTGGATACAGATTCATTATCTCCCCCATTAAAATGTTTATATTGGCCTTTCCATAGGCTAAGCTTTAGTTTTTAGAAAGAAAAACTCTCACAGTTAATATTTTACCTGATATTAAAGAATGTTGTTATCTGAGAGTATCTTTCACAGTTTGTGAAGCAGTTAAAAGTACAAGTTTATTTTGGTGAAACAATTTTTAAATCCACGCATAATTTTTTTATATGTAGTACAGAATCCTTGTGTATTATTAAACATTTTTTGAATCAAAATAAGCTCATATTTTAAACTCAGCTGTCCATTTTTTTTAATACTTCGTGTGCTTGATTTGCTACTGAACTCTGATTTCCAACTAACAGCTTTTTCTTCCTCTTGTTTTCATAGGCTTTGGTGAAGCACGTGCAGTCTAAAGGGTATCCTAATGAACGTTTTGAACTTCTTACCAACTTCCCCCGAAGGAAACTGTCTCACCTGGACTATGACATCACATTACAAGAGGCAGGCCTTTGTCCTCAAGAGACTGTGTTTGTGCAGGAAAGAAATTAACACTATGGCCTGACCTCTCTCAGCTTCTCCCCTTTTCTTCCTTTGTCTTCGTGAGGTACCATGTCACTAAGTATGCATTTTGGCTCACAGGACCACAGAGCCAAAGTTGGACAAGCAAGTCACCTTCCTTCTCTTTTCTTACTATAATCAGTCTGTTCCCCTAATCCCCGCTCTTTCTTTCTTGTTTCTATTTTCTATTTCTGTCTTTCTTTCTTACCTAAACTGGTGACCAAATGGAAATGTAAACCTCTAGTACTGGCAGCAGGATATGTGTGTTACAATAATAGGTGGTCTACACAGCTTTTTTTTTTTCTTTCTCTTGGATCAAATGATAAAGTTAGTACTCCTCAGATATGGCAGAGGAATGGCTAGTTTCAGCATAAGAACAACCCTCTCCCACCCTTTTCTTATAAGCCCACATTTTTAGTAGGTGCAAGAAATTCTCTAACACATTTTCTTTTGTTCTTTATATCAGAAATATCTGGAGTGTGTTATTTACATGGAAACAAAATCTTTAGGGTTATTGCTCATTGCATTAAATTTTTTTTTCAAAGGATTCCTGTCCAGCTACAGAAAGTATTTCTGTGATATGTGTAATTGGCAAAATGAGTGTTAAATGTGGAGTTTGTAGCACAGGGTGACTTTTCTGAATGTCTGTCCTAGCCTGAGATGACCCTCTTTATTAATACTCTGTTAACTGTATTGATCCTGCTAATCCAAGAGTAGAACCTTAGCATACTGTAGTGACTATGAGAGGAAAATGCTTGCTATTTTTGCCAGTACAGCATGTAGGTTCTTTTGGCCCTTCCATTGTCTTGAGTCCACAGGGATTTGTAGGAAGGCAGTTCAATAATCATGCAGTGCCATGGCTTATGATTGTAACCACTGTGGTTATTGATTGTCTTGTGTGCTTAAGGCATACTTACATGTGTCCTGGGAAGAGAAGAAAAGAATGTAGCTGAGAGTTGTTAGCCATATTCCTTGGGTTAAAAATAATGGTTCATTTTTTTAGCCTCTGGTTGGAATAGTCTGTAAAAGGCTCTGGAAACTGATCAAGCTTAACTTCTTCATGCTGTTTTCTTTCAAAGGATGTCATAAACAGAAAGATTCTCTAAGGGGAAGGCCTTTAAACTCAATTCTTAACACATTTAGTAGAGAATAGGGGAGGTTACCAGTCATCTTCCGGATGTAGGTGTTTTTCTGCCAACAAAAGCCACATTCAGATTATAGTTGGCAGATACTTCTATAGTGCTTAGGACATGCCCTTTTGAATCCATACAGAATCATCATAAGTTTCACTTGTGCTCAGTTCTTAATGTGAGCCTTAAATAGAGTCCTCTGAAGGAAGAGCAGTGATTCTGGTGCCCTAATTAAAACTCAGTATGTTATCAAACTGTTCTAGAATTGGAACTATTTTATCAGTTGAAGGTTGAGAGTAGTTCTACCTGAGGAGCATAAATTGCATTGTTCGGAGGTCTTTGGACTCCCACCTACTTTGAGATAAATCTCTTGCTAGTACACAATTATAGGATATGGTTTCCAATGGTTGCAGTTTGAGGGACCCTTACTAAAAAGTTGTGTATCTCCTCAGAAAATCATGGAAAATTCTGTTTATTCTACAGTGAGTCCTTTTGAATTAATGTTCTTACATTTTTTCTAAGTCTGTGTAAGTGCTTATGTATAAGTATATAATTGTATAAATATTTATAAATATATTTATATAATTACACTTTCATTTATACGTTGAGTCAAAGTTCTCTTTAGATTGATGACTGAATAATACCCTTTTGGTGTGTTTTTTATACCTTTTGGTGTGGATTTTTTTTTCCTTCCATAAGCTCCCAAGGCTTACCTAGCAGCTTGTGATGGTTGAGGAAACATGGTTGTCATGTTAATTCCTCAGTGTGTCTCTGAATTTGAGTAGCATCCTTGCTATCTGAAAAATAGAGCCATGTACTGTAAAGGGTACACTGGAGGGCAAAAAAACTGCTGGTGGTGGACAAAGTGAGAAAGCAAAAGTCAGCAAGGCCCAGGGTCAGAAGTGAGGGTTTGATTGATTTTGCGCTCTTGGTGGGGGTACCCATTTCCATTCCTGGCAGAGTCACAACAAAAGCCCAAGTCAATCAGAAATGGGAAGTTGAGAATTGCTCCTGTAGGCCTGCTTAACTCTCAAGTACTAGGACATGCCCAGAGAACTCGAGACCAAACCCTCTTATTGATGAGACAATGAAGTTCTTTTCACTACGTTCACAACAGTGACACATTCATTTAGGAGAAACCAAAGTAGCTTGCAGCTTTGTGACATGATCAGGTGTATATAAAATGAATTAAGGGACAGTGTGTGACATATCCATTCAACTTACAAACAACTGAGATTCTTAGAATACAAGCTGTAGAGAGTTTGTTTGGTTTGATTCTGATCTAGGAGTGTGATTATCTTGGTTTGATAAAGAGGCCCTCGTGGGGAGGGGTTATAGATTGTGCTTGGGAAGAATAATAAGAAGCATTGCCTTGCTCAAGACCTTCATCAACTTAAGGAGCATCCTTCGTCCAGCTTGCCATACTCTTGTCAGTACCCTTGCTCCTCACTGGAGAGATGAGATGGAATGGGGTCAGTAAGGATGGTTCAGTCATTCCTTGGAGGTGACAGAAGCAGCTTGAAAAGTGTGAAAATGTTGGGAGGAGAGCAACAGGTAGAATTGGAGAGTGACAGATGAACAATAGCAAAGAAAAAGAAATATTTTTTTAAAAAAATTTTTGATTCAGCAATCAGAGAAACAACAGTGCCAAATAAAGGAAGAATGTGGATGTAATTCTGAGTAGCAAGCATGCACTAGGTGTTCATATTTGCTTTCTCCTTTAATCTTCCCAAGAATCCTGCAAGTAGTTTCCTCCCCCCCCCCCATATTATTCAATCAATCAATCAAATAGCACACAGAAAACTGTGAACTTCAGAGAATTTGTCTTGGATGTGACAGCTGGGAAGTGGCAGGTCACAATTAGAATCTGAAGACCATGCTCTTTTCATATCCATACAGCAGGGAAATCGATTTGCCCAAATTAGTGTTACTTCATTTAGATGTGTAAGTTATCTTGTGTTTTTAGTTTTTTAAGCTATAGGTGGTAGTTGAGGTGAAGCTTGTGGGATTTACAGTATGCCTATACATTTTTATTTATTCCATTATTGTGAAAAGCAATTATTGCTTTTAAAAATGATATACTGATGAAAATGTGAAAGTAACTGTGTAACATTATTTACCAAGAAAAGTGAAACAAATTTTGTGAGAACTATCTTTTTAAACCATTTTTCAGAAAAAAAATTCTATGTTCCATCCATACCAGATTATTGAACTATGTAGTATGTTTTTAAATCTTTCATAAAATTCTGTTTCCTTGACTTACAAGTCAGCAATTGTTCATTGAATTCTTAGTCAAATTTGGAAATTTTTGAAATTAAGTTCTGATTCCTGCCCCCTTTTTACTAACCAGTTAGACATGACACAGCACTTAAGATGATTGGAAGGCATGTAAATGTTTTCCTTTCTGAGACTGAACTGTAATTATAATATAAATTTTGAAAGGGAAAGTGTAGTTAGGAAGGTTCCACAAAGAAAGCAAGCTGAAAAAAGGCAATTCCTAACTAGCTCAAATTATCCTAGAAGTCATCCATATTTCTTTTAACTACATCTAGATTTGGGCATAAAATTCATCAACAGAGCATAACCATTACCTAAGGAGAAAAGAATTGTTGGCGCCACCCCACACACGCAAGATGCTAAACTAGCAGGAATCTCACTTCAGCACTTAGGAAAAATACCAGAACCACTACAAGTGAAATTGAAGGCCTGGTCTCTGTCAGCTGCGGGTGGAATGGGCAGTGTGCTCTCTGAGCCCTGCTGGGAGGCTACTCTGTGCTATCAGTACACTCTGGATTGTCACCTTAGCAAGTCTCATTCTTGGGAGTCTTGAATTCCTCATGGGAAAAGTGAGAAAACTCAACCAGTACCTGATCCTTTTTAGTAGAAGGGCTTGTGATTTTAAGATAGTGCAGGTGAAGTGTTAAATATAATTACATAGTTTGAAAAAATGTAAATGTGTGCATGTGAATTCAGACTTCTTGGATGAGCCCCAGGAACTCAAATTCTAGATCACAGATTGTCTCTGAAGGCCTTTCTTACTTTATGCTGAAAGACTTTATGCTTTATGCTTCTGGTTTCTCTCCTTCTTATGTATATTCCTAGACTAATTAAAGAGAACCTGTTAATCCAGGTATTATTTTCCAACAACTTGACCTAGCCTCACTGTGATGACTGAAATTTCCAAAAAGGAGAGTTACTGTCACAGTTGCAGATCTTGTCATAATCTTTTGAACAGTTCATTACATTTTAAACTGCCAATTTAGTGTTGAGACTAAAATGTAATTAGAACTAAATGTGTCACAACTTTGGAGTTTTATTTTACTTGTTACTTTAAAACAACTTCACTGGCTGAGCAGTTGGGAAATTGATTTGTCTAAGTTACAGAATTGTCTCTTGAATTTGGTACAACTTTTCAGTATCCCATTCGGCTGGCTTTGGAAAGCATTTCCTATCCCATGGAGTGTGTCCTCCTTGTGTCATTTCTATCTTCTTTTTGGCTGTCTTTTGTTTAACTACTTAGTAGTAAGTCAGTAATAGATTGCAGGTTGATGAATAAGAATGTGTTGTATAAAACAAAAACTTGAAAGTAAGGATAGGAAAAGCCAAACCTTCTGATGAACATGGCGTTTTCCCGTTATACCAGCCTTGATGACTAGACTGAACACAGCCATGCTCATGATTGTTCTGCTCAGTTGACTTGCTTGCTGATCGTTTCAGTTACTGTCAGGCCCTGGAATGTAGTATTGTCCAGTGACAAGTATATATTCTTTAAAATGGAAAGCAACAGAACACTGTACCAATATATTGATATCTTCTGTTACATAGAGCGAGTTAGGATCTCTGTGTTGGTTATTTCGGGTTCTGACTGACCTATACGTCAGTCCTGCTTTAGTGTCAACTGAGAATCAAGAAAAAATTTGTATAGAGTGTGATGGCTATTTTTCTTACATTTAGATTATTCCATGTGATGCAATCTTTAATTAGAAAATCATAGCCTTTTCTCTTTGATGTCTTCACATTTTATTTATAAGTTAAGATACAGGAAATGAATTTGAGGCGAAAGCATCCTTATTGTTCATTTTATTTCTACTTAACAGAAAATTCTCTTATTCCAAGTAGGAGGAAGAAGCTGGCTCTGTGATACCCACTTCCCTTTTTTTGGCCTGCAGGTTGTTGTTGCTTAGATTCTTAGCTGTTCTCCAAAATTTTATTTTTGATGTACACCCTTCTTTACTGTGATCACAAAGTTGGATAATTCAAGGTGAACTACTTTAAGTAAACAAAATCTAGCATTTCAGTGGTGAGGTATTTTTTTTTAAACTATTCAGATTTACAGGTAGGATTAGAGATGCAGATACAATGGTAGACTTTTGCCTAAGAACAATGGTAAATATGGGAAGTTAACCTTGTTGTATTTGATTTGGTGGCAACAAGTGTTTGTTGTTTGTCTAATGGTATTTGCTCTGTAGAGACCAGGATGCCCTAAGATTTTATCTGCCTTCTAAGGTCACTCCAGTTTCCAAATGAGGAAACCTAATGTTGAGCAGCATAAGTAATATGTTTATCTCCATTCCCCTCCCCAAAAGATAATCCAACTAGGCTGCCTTGAATCATTTATTCATTAGACTTAGTAAATAAATGGGCAGCATTTCAAATTATAAATTCAGACCTCAGATTAAATTCTCTCTTGCTTAAATTCGTTCTTAATGGCCTTTTTTATAGCATGAAATCTTCACTGATATGGGAAAGAATCTTGACCTGGAACCATTCCGTGCTTTTGTCCCCTTTATCAAGATAGCAGGCTTTGCAGTGCCTGTCACCAGGATCCATCTCAATGGATTGGACCGAGTTGTGTACCTTTCTGTCTTCAAAAAAAAATTATTTTATAATAGTATACTTTTCTCAGTGTGTCTGTGTTCTTAATATGGAGAATATCAGTAAGTTAATGGTGTGATTCAAAATATAAGTAGGTTTCTGACACTAACATTATGTTCCTAATAACTATTTGATAGCAGAAATTATTGCCCTCCAAGTTATACCTCCCATAGAGTGAGTGACCCATTGTCAGCAGAAAAATCCCATTGTTCCTGTTAATTAGAATGAAAGTAGGATGTGCCATCCACTACTTTTTCATTTGATGAGTAGCCAGCTTCTAGTAGGAGCTGTTTGACCTCTCTGGAGACGTTTGCCTGGTTACTTTCCTCACTTTGTCCCACCTTTTGCAAAGGCAATGTAAGACACTTGTTGGGAAGCAGGCTGTAGGCTGTGAGATAATCATCTTGTCCTTGAAACAGATGAACCCCAGTTGATGCTAGTTAGCATGATCCCTGGACTCTAAGGGCCTTCCATCCAAGCATTGACAGGATTTTCACTCCTCTAAGAATCTTTTCTTTCCAAGGATGGTTTTTCTTTTGATTATTAATGACTTACTAAACATCTGGGGTCTTTTCCCCAACACTCCATCCTTTAAGGAAGTCCTCCTTTTTTAAGTAGCTAATAATTGTTCTCTGGAAGCCTTCAGGAGCACACTGTGGGCTCTGTGCATGCCTTGTATGAGTTCTGTGGGAACTGTGTTTTGAATCCTCTAGGATGTCCCAGCTCTGGCATGTCGTCACTAACTGTTTTAAAACATTTTTTCCTGTCGTTTCCTAAACCTCACTTTCCATCTCGTTCAGAGAGATTGGTCAAGGAGTGGAGTTTGTGTGGGGCTAGGGGTAAGGGTGGGTTGGGGAGTTGAATGAAGTCAACTTGGGATATATGCTTTCAAGTGTTTCCTCGAGCAGTTCCTAACAGTGTTTGCAGATTCCCTGGGAGGTTTGTGTCCTTACCTTGACAAAGTGGTAGTCTTCCTGAGTTTTAATTCTTACTGCAGGACAGGCTCTAGGTGTTATCTGTAGTGGAACGTGGTGACTCAGTACAAGAACACAATGGACAGAGACAGTGCTCCAATTGTTGGTTTCTGGCAAGTTCTCCCTAAAATGCACACAGAGTTCTCAGTTTTGTGGACCTTTCATTCCGTGGTGCTAGGAGGTAATCACATGTTTCTACAGCTTTTCCCCAAAGTGGGAAGAAGGCTTTAGGACCAAAGAGAAGGAGTAACTGAACCAGCCACTAAATTCTTTTAAGATACTAGAAACCCTCGTGTACAAAGGTGCTAGGGAAAGCCTTAAATTTGGAGACATGTGGAGTGGTAGAAAATCTTGGAGGAGAAAGGCATGCCTGTAGGTAAACCAGAGCTGTAACTGCTAGCTAATACTCAGTGGAACTTCCACTTGCTCTAAAACCAGGGAACTCTTCAATAACTGGGTGTGATATATCTATAGCTACATGTAGTCTATAGGTAAATGCTTTTTAAAGGAGGATCTTTCTCTCCCTTGGTGGTCCTCTGGTTTTGGCTGTACCAAATTGTGAATATTCTTGCTGTGTTGTACCCAGTTGCTTTATATTAATACTGCAACTTGAATTGGGGTGGGTGGGTGGGAGAGCAGCGTGGGGAGGGAAGGGAGTGGGATGATAATTATTTTGAAGACATCAGCTCACTGTGCTGAGAGAGGGACCAAACTCAAGGAAACCTCTAATCTATAAATTCAACTGCTGCATTTTTTTATAAATACATGTAAATGTCCTGTTGTAATATTTGATCTTGGAAATAAAAACAAAAACTTTTCTGTATCAGTTTTTTGTGTCATTGTTTTCCTAAGATAAGACTTTTGGTAGGGCCCTGCATGGCATGATAGATCAGTAGCTAAATCCTCACCTTGCAGGCGCCAGTATCCCAATTCATGTCCTGGCTGCGCCATTTCCCCTGCAGCTCCCTGCTTGTGGCCTGGGAAAGCAACAGGGGATGGTCCAAAGCCTTGGGACCCTGCACCTGCGTTGGAGATCCAGAGGAAGCTCCTGGCTCCTGGCTTCAGATCGACTGACCTCTGGCCATCACAGCCACTTGGGAAGTGAATCAGTGAACAGAAGATCTGTCTCTCCTCCTCTCTGTAAATTTGTCTTTCCAATAAAAATAGATAAGTCTGAAAAAAAAAAAAAGACTGCATATATTACTTCCACTTTTGCAATTCAGATTCCAGAAGCATGTCTCATGTTCTCCTGTGTAAGACGTTGAATATTGATTGACAGGCTGATATGTAGTACCGTTGCCAGGTGTTAATGTTTGTGAACTTTATAGTGTGCTGGACATTTATGGTGAGTACTGTTCAAATGTTCGTGAAAGCATTATGGAAACGTGGGTTGGTTGGCCCTGTTAAGAAGGCATAATTCTGTTTTTGATCTCTGGGCAAGTCATGTGTCCAGGACCTCAGATCAGCAGTAATGACTATTGAAAAATGAAGGAGCAAGCATTAATAAGAGGAAAGCTGGGAGATAGGACCAGCGTGACATCTGTAATGAGGTTGAGATGGCAGGCTGGTGCACCATCCCACCATGATTAGTTTGTATTTCTTGTGTGGAGCGTTCCTTGCCAGCTTGCTATAGTGCCTTTAACATGCCAAATGGGAAGGATGGCGTGTTGGTTAAAAGTCCCTACCCTGTAAGGAACTTTCTGGTTCAGCACACATAATAAGCATAAGAAGCAAAAACAGAATTGATTCCAATATTGCAGAAAAACCAATGGAAACTTCCTTAAATAGGAAGCTGGTAAGTTGAACTGATGACCGAATGAATGTAAAAGGAAGTAGTCCATGCTAAGAGCAGGAGGGAGACTTGCTAAGGCTGTGGGATGGTGGTGTGGGGGAGGGATTTCAGGCATTGGGAGGTTGAGAGTGAAAAGGGTCCTGGACCCTGATCGTGAGCTTGAATACTGTTTGGGTATAATGAGAAGCCATTAATATGTGGAGAGTGGACTAGAAGAGAGCAGGCAAGAACAACTAAAGTAAAAACAGGTCACCTGGATTAGTGTTGGGTGTGTTACAGATGCATTTTGAAGATGGAAATGGAAGGAGTTGGTGTTGAATGTGGGGGAAATGAAGGAGGAAATAACTAAAAGGTGAGGGGCTCCAGCACGGTGGCCTAGAGGCTAAAGTTGTCACCTTGAATGCATATAGATGCTGATTCTAAACCCGACAGCTCCACTTCCCATCCAGCTCCCTGCTTGTGGCCTGGGAAAGCAGTGGAGGATGGCCCAGTGCTTTGGACGCTGCACCCAGGTGGGAAACCCAGAAAGAAGTTCCTGGCTCCTGGTTTGGATTGGCACAGCAACGGCCATTGCAGTCACTTGGGGAGTGAACCATTGGATGGAAGATCTTCCTCTCTGTATATCTGACTTTCCAATAAGTAAATAAATCTTTTTTAAAAAGTTGGGTCTGGTGTGATAGCGTAATGGTTAAGGTCCTCACCTGGAACACACTGGGATCCCATATGGGCGCCGGTTCTACTCCTGGCTGCTCCACTTCCCATCCAGCTCCCTACTTGTGGCCTGGGAAAGCAGTCGAGGATGACCCAAAGCCTTGGGACCCTGCACCCATGTGGGAGATCTGGAGGAACTTCCTGGCTCCTGGCTCCGGATTGGCACAGCACTGGCCATTGTAGTCACTTGGGGAGTGAACCATTGGATGGAAGATCTTCCTCTCTGTTTCTCCTCCTCTCTGTACATCTGCCTTTCCAATAAAATCTTTTTTAAAAAAAAAAAGTGACCCAGTTTCACTGATGGAGTGTGGTTTCACTACTGAGGAAGACAAGAATGGTGGATGACCCAGTTTGGTGAGGGAGAAATTGTGGATAGTTCCTAGTGCAGATGCATTATAGAAAGTTTGACATCTTAGCTGAAAACCTGGAGGTGATATTTAAGAATCGGCAGTTTAGATGGGATTTAGGAGAGTCCACAACCAAAAAGAGACCCAGTCAAGGAGCTGCAGGAAAAACACCAGAGTGAGATCCAAGGAACTAAGAATGACAAGAATCTAGAGGCCATTATGTCTTGGGCTGCCTGCAGGCCGAGGGCAATGAAGTGTCCATCAGGTTCAGAAACTAAGAACCGTGTCAGTGTAGTGTTGGCTAGAAGTCTACTTAGGGTGGGTTGAGGTTCGTAGTATTTTTATGCTGGGAGTAGAGGGTGAGGATAGATCCAAACTTCGCTTTTTTTTTTTTAAGGTTTATTTATTTTTATTGGAAAGGCGGATATACAAAGAGGAGAGACAGAGAGGAAGATCTTCTGTCCTAGGGTTCACTCCCCAAGTGACTACAACAGCTGGGGCTGAACCAATCTGAAGCCAGGAGCCTCTCTTTCAGGTCTCCCCCGCGAGTGCAGTGTCCCAAGACTTTGGGCCATCTTTGACTGCTTTCCCAGGCCACAAGCAGGGAGTTGGATTGGAAGCAGGGCCGCCAGGATTAGAACTAGCACCCATATGGGATCCTGGCGTGTGCAAGGCGAGGACTTTTGCTACTACGCTATCATGCCAGAACCCAAACTTCCTTTTTATTGGACAGAACTTTCGACATCTCTTTTATCCTCTCTCTAATTAGGAAATGTGCCATTTTCCTGTCAGCTGTGAGTTGAGATGGGAAGTCACCCACAGAAAACTGGCTAGTCTGTCACTCTTCAGAAGACTGGAAAACAGCCGGCTCAATTATTTGAGCTGTGTCATCTTTTCCTTTTCCCGTCTTTCAGTGGATTCCATTTTCTCTACTTCCTCTATTCCTGGCTCAAGGCCCACTTCCAGTCCCTACAGTGTTCCAGAGAACAGAACCTCTGCCCTGTTCTCTCAAGCATGTTATAGGATTATTTTACACACACACCCCATTCCTAATCTGTGTTCTCCGACTCTCATTTATTTTTCCCTAGAAATATGACCACAAAGGTATTAAATAGTAGTTTTGTTTACTTAGCCAAATTCTAAGATAATATTAGCAGATGCGTAAAAAGATCATATTTAGTTTGTTGGGGGCGGTGGTCAACCTTCTATTAACATGGAAGGCTTATCATAGAAAAGTAAAGCAGTTAATTTAGTAAACTTGACTATTGCATGGATATAGTTTTCTAGAAAGGTGTCTGAGGGGCAAGTGTTTACTGTAGCAGCTCAGTTGCCACTTGGTCACCTGCACCCTGTGTCAGTGCCTAGGTTCAAATCCCGGCTTTGCTTTCTACTCTAGTTTCTTGCTAATGTGCACGTTGGAGGCAGCATTTAATGACTCAAGCACTTGGGTCCCTGTCCCCTGCAAAGGAGACCCACTTGAAATTCCTGGACCAGCCTGATTTGTGGGCACCACCTGCAAGTGGAAGATCTCTGACCCTCTGCCTTTCAAATAAAATGTAGCTGAACATTTTGTAAAAAAATAGGTATCTTAGGACCTGGCGTGGTGGCTTAGCAGCTAAAGTCCTCACCTTAAACGCTCCAGGATCTCATATGGGCACCGGGTTCTAATCCTGGCTGCTCCACTTCCCATCCAGCAGTTGAGGATGGCCCAAATCTTTGGGACCCTGCACCCGTGTGGGAGATCTGGAGGAAGTTCCTGGCTCCTGGTTTCAGATTGGCACAGCACCAGCTGTTGTGCTCACTTGGGGAGTGAATCATCAGACGGAGGATAGTTCTCTCTATCTTTCCTCCTCTCTGTATATCTGACTTTTCAATTAAAAAAAAAAAGGTATCTTATTTATGAAATTTGTGTTTGGGGTCTGGCACAGTAGCCTAGTAGTTAAAGTCATTGCCTTGTAACTGCCGGGATCCCATGTGTTCCAATTCTAATCTGAGGAGCCCTGCTTCCCATCCAGTTCCCTGATTGTGGCCTGCGAGAGCAGTGGAGGACGGCCCAAAGCCTCGAGACCCTGCACCCATGTGGGAGACCCGGAAGAGGCTCTTAACTCCTGGCTTCGGATTGGCTCAGCAGCTGTTGCAGCCACTTGGGGGAGTGAGTCAACAAATGAAAGATCTTCCTCTCTATTTCTCCTCCTCTCTGTATATTTGACTCCAATAAAAATAAATAAATCTTTAAAAAATAATAAAATTTAAAAATAAAAAGAAATCATTTACTTGAGATCCAGAGACAGAATAAGCAGAGCACATACCATTTACCATTGGTTATTTTCCAAATGCCTGCCATGGCTAGAATGGGCCAAGGTTAAACCACGAAGCCAGTGATAGGATCCAGGCCTCCCGTAGATGACAAAAACCCAATAACTTGCATCGTCAATGCACACATCCAAAGTCTGCATCAACATGAAGCTGAAACTTGAGAACCAGAGCTAAAGTTGGGACTCCAACCCAAGTAGTTCAATGTGGGATGTGGGGAGTCCCAGGGCCTATCTTACTGACACCCTTCAAGAGTTTCTCCCCCTCCCCCGTGTTCCCCTATATTATTACAGTAGCATAGTTCTTCATATACAGTCATATATCCATCATTGCAGGCATGGACAATGGCAGAGTTCAGCATCCTTTTGTCAAGATAAACAGTTTCATTGGGAGTCCATCTTTGTCTGGAAGTAGAGATGCATACTGCATTGTATCCTCACATCTGGATATGATAGTCGCCATTACACAGTTACTATACATCCCCTTAAATGAAAAACCACAAAACAAAATCAACAACAATAACAAAAAAATTGCAACACCATGAAGTTAAGTAACATTCTGCTGAATGGCTTATGTGTCACTGAAGAAATGAGAAAGAAAATCAAGAAGCTTCTTGAAAATGATGCTACTGTATGATCTATGAGTCATTAAAGAATTTAA